TTGAATATTCGAATATTCGACCTTCCAATCGATCGAATATTCGAATATTCGGTTATTTGGCCAGTCCAAATTACCTCAAAAGCAAAAAATATGCCATACATGTACATGTAGTCGACGTTCGTGCGCACGTCAGCATGCCATGCATGATTTCTTCACAGGTAAGTCAGGTATTTGACAACAATCAGTTGTTCTTCAGTCGTCAGTAATTTAAAGATTAACAATAACCATAGAAGCTAGAGTGAAGGATTCCTTGTTTGCATGGGGGACGTATTAAGCCGTGAACCCCAAACACGGCGGGTGGCGTCAGCTATTGTGACTCTCGACCCTTAACTCGCAAACAGGAACCGAGCATATCTATACTGGAAGCTTCTTGAAGTCTACAAAACGGTGTACTTCCTAGTCACAGTATTGAGGATAAAAAAAATCACTTTTATAATAATAACTCGCACTTTTGTCACCAAGAATTGAGGAAATGATTTTATATCATTTTAAATAAACTTATTCTCAACAACCAAAAACTCCAAGAAAAAAACCTATGATATTTAATGTTTTATTCAATGAAATATGGGTCTTTGAATTGTAAATGCATATTAAGTTTATGCAAATAATGGGCGTGGGCGCGGCATACACATGCCCCAGCTTGACACGTGCAAAGCAGTTTTTCCTTGTTTGCCCACAGGGGATGTATTATAAGCTGTGTACCCAAAACACGAAGGGTGACATTTCAGCAAAAAAAAAAAAAAAAATCGCCAGCCGAGCTCCGGCGGGCGCATTGTTGGCGGGCTAATTAGGGCACAGGTGCGCTGACCCGGTTCTTTGTCTGGCTAAGTGCGTGCTCTGGAGATAACTTTCTAACAAATAGGCCACTAAAAGGTTTGGATATTCCAACTTGCAACATTTTGATACATTTTGTCTAGCTGTGGTTTTCTATGCTGGGAATCAGGGGTACGGTACGGTGCGGTGAGTTGACCGCAAAGTCTGTCTGTCGAAATAAATGAGAGCTCTTTTGAGTTTGAAATCCTCTCTGTTGTCTGCCCTTTTCTTGCGTTTTGCTCGACTTGGAGGACATAAGCCAGAGGTTCCGCTATTATTACTGAAAGTATAATTGCTGAACTAGTTTTTGAAGTGTTTATGTATGTTTTATTTGTGCAAATTGGGTGCAATTAGCAGACTAACCCAGCGAACAAAGCTGACGGACAGCGAACGAAAATGTGTTCAATAAAAGGGTGCTCTGATCAGTTGAGAGAACTAGATTATTTTGTACATGTACATGTATATAATTACGGAGGCATTGAGGCGAACATCTAACAGCCATAATAAATTTACCCCTAAAAGTAAACAAGAAATTCTTTTAGAAAAATCCCAGAGTCCGTAACGTAAATGAACCAAGGTTTTCAAAACGTTTTAATGTAATGTTGGGGTTCATGACAAGTTTTCTACAACACCGCCACGTGCTGTGAGCAGCATACTGCGTGCAAGGCGATTCCCTATAACCACGTGCATTCGACACGATTGAACAGGCGATGGAAAACTTTGGGGGAATTGGCTTCGCTGTATCAGTGTAATGTACCGCTTCTTGTGCGACCCTGTGCGAGCAGTACGTCCCTTTAAATAAGTACATGAAAACGGAAAATACAAAGGCCCACACAGAAAAAAGAAATCAAGTTCTTTGCATGAGATTGCAGAGGTCTTCTACATCGATGTTGGCATGCCATTTTCGCGATGTCAATAGCCGATCCAGTAAGCCCCTCCCACTGCGCACGTGGGCAAATTAACACGTGCTCCTCTCCAATGCCACGCTGCATTTTCCTATGCTGCACACATGTACATGTAACACCAACGCGCGGGAAACTTGCCAGGATCGCATCGGGAAAAACAGCGGCGGTTTTCTTTTGAAAGTAGGGATTGTAAGTAGGACAACAACAAACAAAAATACGGACAACGGAAACGTTACTACTCATGCTAGAAGTTTGATATGAAAAGGTGTCAGGAAGTGTTTTGTGAAGACATGAAAGACAAAATGTCTTGTTTATCTTGTCGGAAGCATCAGCGATTGGTGTTGCAGTCCGGCGTTAAAAAAATGGGTTGGCTTTACTGCAAGCACTCCCAAAGCAGAAGTACATGTATTATATGTATGGCATTATTGCTTGGCATATATACAAGCTACTTGTATGGGTGTTTTGGCAGCAACTCGAAACTTAACTTTGAGAATACACTTTTGTTGTTAAAAAAAAAAAAAATTTTCACCTTTTTATTTCATTGCATATCACCACCGAATATTCTTATTCGAAAAAAATATTCGAATATTCGTTATCGATCGAATAAACCGAATTCCGAATATTCGGCACAGCCCTAGGGGGGAAGGGGGATGGAATCAAGTTAAACATTCATGCATCGTCACTTTGGAGTGCTGTGGTCCAATGGTTACAGTGTTCGACCCATGTACCATGTTACAATGTACGTGGGTTGGAACCCTGATGGGGAACATGGTGCTTGTGTTCTTGGGCAAGACACTTTACTACCGTACAATTGCCTCTCTAAACCCACGAGTATACAATTTGCTGGAAAGCACTATACATGTATATAATAGAAGCACCACGCATTATTATTATACTAGCAAAGGGGTGGGGGGGGGGGGTCGGGAGGAGTGGGCAGGTGGGGGTTGTCGGGGGCTATGGGGTGGGGGGATAGGGGAAGGGAGGGACTGGTTTCCATAATCTCAGCTATGTCTCATGCTTCGGCTTTTAGGCGCCAGCTTCATGACTTCAGTAATGTGACTTGATAGACTATGGGGATACTGAATTCTCTCGTTCCAGGTCAGTAACATTTGAGCAGAGCAGGAATTCTTATGAATTTTTGACTGAAGAAAAATATTAGTCAAACCAGAGATAAAGCTAAGGTTTTTGAAGCCTCCTTGCCCCCCCCCCCCTTGTAATTTGGAGATGTAGGTTAAGGTTTCAGTATTTGACTACTTCTCAATGATGAAAATTTAAGAGAAAAAAAATAAAGCAACATCTGTGAGGAATTGATTTTGCAAGACACGGGACTTCTTGGTCCATAACATATATTTTTGTTCTTACCTCGTGTTGTGCGAACATCAAAGTCACCTCCTCTTCATCTTCTGCAGACAAAAGAAAAAGTCAACACAATTCTGAAAATTCCGATTAATCCATATAAATATTGCACATCAGCCTCATCTTAAAGAGAATGTACAACATTTGCTTTTGCTGCAATTTTCAGAAATAAATGGGTTTGGAGGATTAGAATGTTATAGCAAATATTGTTAAACTGACTTGTTTCACATTTTCAAAGCTCTGTCCACGGATCACAAAAAAGGTGTGTGTTCTTTCAGCATAACGAAAACAATTCACACACATCCTTATGTGATTCGTTTTCGATTTGCTGAAAGAACACTGAACTTTTTTGTGATCCGTGGACAGAACCTTAAAACGGTGGTTGTGTTTAAAACTCCGTAACTCGAAAAGTACATAAGTGATTTGAATGATACTTGTACTAAAAGAATGCTTATGAATTGGGCTTTCATATCCTAGATTTTGAAAGTGCTACATGCAGAACTTCACTAAAGCAATGGTCCCGACATTTGGGTTTCGTTTTTTTTTTACTCACCCTGTATTTCAAGGTCAAGGAAAGACCAAAGTGCAAACGTGGGAAAGACTTTATATGCCCAGCCCCTGGACCAGCTATAATCATGATAGGAGCACATGTTATTCCCTGCTGACCCAAACAGATTATTATTTATCAAATTAAATATTCAAACACCGTGCGGATCGTTACACCTCGATGCGATGATGGATCTTAAGAGACCAGGTCAGTTCTGGACAAAGTGTCAGTGCTGAGATTTGTTTAACAAGTTTGAGCAATATGCTCCAGAGAAAATTGGGACTTAAGATTGTTCTTTCTTTTTATAAATCAAAGTGTCATCTTTATGGTCTAACTTTTACAGGGGATACCAAAACATTTTCTCGATGTTGGATTTCCGATATATACAATTATTAAAATTCTGATAGACGGTGCTTAACATGTAAATATATCTAATGCTAACAATTTGTAATTCAAGTTGACATTTTATGTCTAAAGTCTTAAAAAAATATTGGATTTTTTTGTCCATTCAACGTCTTTTGTATAAAACAAAATAAACTGCCATTCAAAAAAAAAAAACGCAATGAAACCTGGCCTCCCAAGCAAGATGAAACCTATCGTAATTAGAAGCGATTGTTTTGTCACGACAGCAATGACGGCAATCTGGAACTCACTTCCTGAGTTGGGAATTAATCTTAGACTCAAGAGGCTAAAACAGAGACAGTAAACTGACAAACACTGCATTGCTGTCACGCACAAACAAACGGTAGAATAATTACCCTCCGACAAAATATTTTGTTATTCATGAAAAGAATTATAAGGATTAAAGGTAGAGTAGATCGTTTGTCGTTTGTGTATTTTTTGTAAGTGCTCAAAATCGAAAGACAGGGGCTTAACAACTAACCTGAAGATATTAACTCAGTGAATGTCGTTTATTCTGAGAAAACAATACTCTAGGGTTGATTTCAATTCAAAATTTCATGTTTTGAATTGCGCACGAAATCAGCATCCGGGTCACGTTCTCATTCAGCAGATTGCAGCTAAGCGATGTCACGCACAGAACCGACGAATAATAGCAATCGCGCGCGCGTGTACCGTGTCGACACTTGCACAAACCCGTGTACGGATTCGCCGAATTACAAACCAACTACTAACACAATTTCCAAAAATGGGTCACTTGCTTACTTTTTTATTTCTCAAAATGACAGCATGCCAGAAGGAATAATTTCACACGGATTTTAGTGCCATTACCATCTTTAAACCAAGCATGCTTTTCAACAATAATTTTGTCGGTTACTTTTGAATAGCCGCAAATAATCTACTCTACCTTTAAAGGAATTTACAACATTTGCAAACATCGAAAATAAAACTACCAAGTTTTTACGAAATACCTTACTAGGATGTGGTAAATGACAGTCTAAAGCATCCTGTAAAATTATGGCACCTGGTGTGAAGTCCTTTTCAAGAAAATGATATTTTTGTATACATTTCCAGCAGTGGTCGGCCGAGTACCGTTGGAAAAACCTAACTATTTTTCAACTACTGCTCCAAATTTACTTCTTTTTTTTCAGTCCAAATTTGTTTGCTATTGGTTACATGTTCATGAACAGGTGCAGGCCAGCTAGACTTGTTCCCTTACCTTACCATTTTCCGGCATCTATAAATTGATCCATTTTATCTTTAGTGGAGGCAGGGAACCAGACTACTTGAACATTTTTGTTTGTCTTAGTATTTCCAGCATTTTCGAACACAAAACTTCAAACATGTCTGTGTAACAATATTTGATCTATTATACTAAACCCTCAAACAGTTCATTTCTGAAAATTACAGCAAAAACCAATGATGTACATTCCCTTTAACTAAAAAAAAAAAAATCATCAGTACAGGTATATCACCTGATTATAAGATTTGAATCCAACAAAAAAATTACAGTACATTTAACATCCCTGGAAAATTTTTTTTTTTCATTTCCCCTATCGATGTGCTCGTGTCTGAGCTTGAGGCGACATTAAGGAAACATGTGCAAACGCAAGCTGGTCAGGACCCCTGTATAAAACCTCCCGTGGCCCCCTCTTGATGAAAGTGAAGTCTCGAGAATGCTTAATGAAAATGTCTGATGGAGAAACCATGTTGAAGTTTAAAAAATAAAAGCAACCAAAAAAAAACCAGCAAGGCTCTCCTGGAGTAAACCCGACGTTGATTAAGATTGTTTTTTTTGCCGAGATCTACCAGTAGGCCTGGGGTTTTTGCCCCGAAACGCATGTACATGTATGCCAAATGATTGCAGAGGAGCGGCGTGTCTTCTTTCTTCACAACAATTCCAATGCTGGAGTTTGAAATGTGTCCCAACTCCTGTAAATTAAATTATCAAATGCTGTGACGTCACTAAACTTGTGTTCACAATTCCTGTCATGCTGAGTATGAACTAACCTTCAAAAACAGAGAAAAAAAGAAAACTTTTTTACTTGTTCAATTTTTCACAAAGTAATTAGAATGAAAACATTGACAAATTGGTAGCTCAGTTGTAGAGCACCGGAATGGCAATGCAGAGGTCACAGGTTCAAACCCCACTCCAGTCAAGTACATGTACTTTGTCCAACCTTTAAATTACAAACTAAAGTTGACAGAGTTGAAATGTGTTCAACTTTTGTAAACCCTCCTATGCAAACGTACGTACTGTACAAGTTGTCCTTTCAGTCAAAATCATTCAGGTGACTGTTTTCAACAGTTAAGAGCTCCCAGCTTACATAAAGCAGGATTGACTGGCTGTGACTGTTTATGCAACATGATACAGCTATGCTTTGACTGTAGGTGATAAGCCTGCTGTGCCTATACCACTTGCCTGTTTTTGTATGTTTACTGAGTGTGACTAGTCACAGTGCTTGCTTGGAGTATGATCTGACTGTTGGTGACTAGCCTGTGTAAAAGGCATGGCAGGGGACGAGGATTGATTATTTTGACTGTCTGTGACTGTTCAGACAGAGGAGCTCATCCATAAAAACTCACATATATCTGGTGCAATAGGGACATGAAAATAAGTGGACCCCAAATATATCCATTCGGGCTCACTTTTAACCTAAGTACCGGTATGAACCATTTGTCTTTAGATTTACATACAGGGGAGTCAGGTTGGCGTAGCGGTACTTTCCTCGCCTTCCACCGCTGTGACCCGGGTTTGAATCCGCCTGGGCCAATATGTGGATTGGGTTTTCAGTCCCTACCTGATTCCATGGGTTTTCCCCAGAATATTCTTCTGGGCTTTTCCTCCACCTCTAAAACTGTAACTTCTTCTCATTGTCTTCTCTCCACAGGTTTCTTCAGGCTTGCGAGCTACAGTGCCTGGGGCGCTTTTGAGGAATCCTTGGTTTCATTACCAGAAATGATAATAACAATAATACCAAAACGAGAAGGAAAGAAAAGGGGCAATTTTCTTTAATTTTCTGCCAAGGGAAAGATTGCAAAGGAAGAAGTTCACTGTACTAACAAATTGTGACACAGCGCTGCCCTACAATGATGCAAACAATGATGTATGTAAAAGTGCATTCAATTTCCTGCCACGAGATTGCAAAAGATATCTTTCTTAATGATCAGTTGTTTGTGGATTTTAGAAATTGCGGGACAGTGACAACCGCGGGGCAATAACACGGAGACAGCGACGGCGAACTAATAATACAAAGAGTGTTTTCGATCGACCGCATGAGCCAACATGACACGGTGAGAAATGCCCGAGCGATCCGGGGGTATTTGGGTTTTTAAGACTTTGGTGGCAATGAACCGCGGTAGACAATAATGTTCTCTTGCAACCCCCGGGAAAATCTGATGCCCCAGTTTAATGTAATTGAGTGACGGACGTTTATTTGCAATGAAAACATGAAATGAAAATGATCCCAGGCGGTGGTGTCTTTCAGTATTAAGGCTGTGTGTTTTAAAAGTTAAAGTACAGTCCATCATTTGTAATTTGCGCATCTTGTTCGTTTGAAGCAACAAACGTGCTCAAAATCTAAAGAAGGGTGCTGAACAACTAACCTGATGAAGTTTCAGCTCAGCTTCAGCTGTATATTTCGAGAAAAACTACATTCTAGGATCTTGATTTCAAATCAAAAGTTGCTCAATCATGTTTTGAATTGGGCCTGAATTCAGCGTCCGAGACTCGTTCTCACTAAGCCGATGGCAGCTACGTGATGTTGCGCACTGATATGATGAATTATAGCAACCGCGTCCGCGTGTGCATCGTGTCAACGCTTGCGCGCGCTTCGCCAAAAAAAAACACCAAAAAAAACGAACTACCAACAAAATTTCCAACGATGGGCCTTTAGATGCATCGTTGGAAAGGCCTTCTTCTGTTGATTTCTTCAAAATGACAGCATGCCAGAAAGAATAACTTCATAGGGAGTTTAGTTCCCTTACTATCTTTCAGCCAAGTATGTTTTTCAACATAATTACATAGCTGCAAATGATGGACTGTAGCTTTAAAGTTGCCCTCTCTGCACTATTGTGTTTTTCAAGGTAGTTTTTCAA